CAGTTGTCATATCAAAATAAAACAAAATGTAAAACTATCCTGCCCCTCAAGCAATTCCATCATAGGAAAGGTTTCCTCACATGCCTTGTGCTTTTCTACAGCTTTACCAGCTCTATATTATCCTTTTTGATACGGGCGACCAGCTCTTTATACAACACTCTAGCAGTATGGCAATCAATCTTACGGACCTAGATTACAACCTGGCGGTACCTACATTGAGAAGAGCAGTTAACTAGCCAGCACCATCTAAATTGCTTCCTAGATTATTGCTAATTGGTGATCGTGTTCCAAGTGTTTTTGCAGTTCCTGGCAGCAGCTCTCATTAACTTGAACCAGACTGCCATAATGTTGTAATAGTCATAAGAAAGCATGTGCAGATACATTCGGTACCCCGTCAGATATGAAGTAAATATTGTTGCATTTTATCAATTGTACCCTGCCCAGAAAGCTTCAGCTTTTGGGTAGTATAGAAATAGTCGTCGTCGTCATGATGATGATGATAGGGAAAGTCTTTTAAAAAATGTATTTATCATTTGCTTGGGCTTTGGAAAAGAGGTGGTATGATTATTTGAGCAGTGCCCCAGTCTGAGGCACATAGATGGTCGACTGCATCCTAAAATAAAGGGAAGTAGGCCTGAATTCAGGTCCTACGTGGAAAGCTGAGTGCTTTCCTAGTCCTGCTGCCCAGAATCCTTGGGGTGATCCTGGGTATCTGAGCAAGAAGGGGGTCCATGGTCAGTTTGTGGATATGGGAGAATAGGGTTGGGGAGTCATACAGAGAGGAGGCCTGAGCAAGAGGAACACTCTCGCTGTCCATTCTGTGAGTATATGATCGAGGTTCCCATTTACATAGCAGTGCATAATTGTTCCCACAGTTAAATGTATAGCTGTTCATTTAGTAGTCATTGTGGGATTCACATTGATTAACCACTGTGTTTGTTAGCTTTATAAAAAGCTATAGAACACAAACACTGGGGGTAGGTAGGAGTTAAGCTATTCTAAGCTCATCTTGTGCATCCAACAATTTGTTGTAAATTCTGATGGGCGCCAAAATATATGGAGTGTCAGTTCCGACGTAACCTGTTCCTGCTTAGTTTGCGACATCTAAGTATATACTGCAGGATAATCTTTGTAATTCCATCCCACATACTCTACTGGCAAGATCCTGTATCTATCCTGAATTCTGCTCATACAGGCCTCTTTAGAAATGCTCTCTGGATAGCTGCTTCTTTCATAAAGATACACTCACTTTTCAAATAATTTGTGGAAACTAGTCCATGTCTTATAGCTTCCTGTTTTGGATTTTATGCTGCAATGGAGAGGGGAAAGTGAGTTCATCAAAACCCCCCAAACTGGTTTATAAGGTTGGAATTCAGTTGTGGCTTGTTGAATGGCTTTGTTTCCCACCCCTAGAAAAGGGCTCTTGTTGGCTTTCCACTATACACTGTTCCTTCATCAGCAGCTCAGCAGCTTTCTTTTCCCTATTCAGGTCCAGCCATGTGTGCATGGTGCTCTGTTTTGCAATGCTAAAGCATCTGCAGAGATTTCTTGGGTTCGGGTGGGGTGCCTATTCAGTAAGCTGCAGAGTAGGCAGCTATCTTTAGACAGATTAGCCAGTGGAATTTCTATGGCAAGATTTTGATTGTTCAAGGCTCTTGGTGCCTTTTGTGTGTGAAACGGTGAAAAGTTGTGTTAGGACAAAGGCTGACAAAGTGTTTAATGAAAGCTGCTTTTGGTATTAACAGACATTCCTCAACTCCCCCCTCCTCCTTTTTGCTGTCCTGCTTCTGCCTGTCAGCTAATGGTGCCAAGCGGTTTTAGATGTGTTGTGCTGAAAATGCAATTGCAAGTAAAAGTTTGTGAGCTAATAGGAAACACTGCCAGTTGTGGTATATGTGTATTTATCATATACTGGACATAACTTGTGTTGTATAGCATATTTAGAGAGAGTGTGTGTCACGTTCTCAAATATCTTGCAATGTGTGAAAATTCAGGGATCTTCAAAGAGGACCAAATAATCCTGTTTATAGCTCCATTCTCTGTTAGTAATAGTGCAGTGACCACTTAAGCTTTGTTACATAAGCCCTATGAAAATGTCCACCTGCTTTCTCCAAACACCCCCACGCTCCTGACTTGTATCATGCAACTCTGTGTCTTCTGCTTATTGGAATAGGCTGAATAGAGCCAGTGTGGCACAGTGGGTAGAGAGTTGGATGGGGACTTGGGAGATCTGCTCTGTACTAGGCCATGGAGCTCAGTCAAAACTAGTGGTTTTCAACCACTGGTCCATGGTCTGGCGTTGGTCCATGGGAGATTTCCTGCCAGTTGGTGGGGGGGCTGCATCCTGCTTGCCGTGAACCAGGATGGGGGGTGTACTCCACCACCTCATCCTCCGTTGGCATCGCCGGTACCCTTGGGGTTCCAGAGAAGGGGGAGCCAACTTGGTGGGAGTTGGCTGGGAGCCACACCATGTTGATTTTGGTATTTTGTTCTTTTGTTGGTATTTTTGTTGTTGTTGCTGCTCGGTTTCTGGTTGTTCTGGAGAATCTCCCTCTCTCCCCCCTCTCCCCCCTCCCTCCCCGTATGTGTTTAGAAACCAATTCACAGAATACTGTATTATGTTTATGGTGTTTTTTCCTTCTGCCTCAGTGTTCCCCAAGGTGGTTTTCCTGTTTTTGCCCGTCTCCAGCTCTGGAAAGGTTGAAAACCACTGGTCTAAACTACCTCACAGGGTTTATTCGTGAAGATAAAATGGAGAGGAGGTTTACTTTGTATGCTCCTTTCGGTTCCTTGAAAGGGAAGGAAAAGGCTGGATATAAATGTAATACAACAATTTTTTTTCCTTTGGCTGAGTGTACTTACACACCTCCATAACTTAGCAGCAGCCATGTTAATTCTTCCTCAGAAAAACTTTTTTTCTATACTTCTCATAATTTTAGCTTTAATATTGGTTTTTTTTATATTTATGTGGAATGGGCATTATGAAGGCTTTGTTTTCCAGTCTTTGTTCAGTCACCCCTTGACTTCATAGGGATGAAGTGAGTAAAAGAGAGTAGCCTAAAGGTGCAATATTATGCATGTTCAGATACAAAAAAGGCCTACATGGGATACAAAGAAAGTTACAGAGATATCTTTTAAGAAGCTTAGCAACCCTCAATTTAGATTTCTTCCTTCATATGGTATCTTAACAAATACAGAAAATAAGCAGCTCTTCTACTACATTAAAAATGCACAATTTCCCTAATACCTCAAAGGTTTTTTTTTAAAGAATACAGACATTATTTTTAAAATGCTGCTCTCACCTGCTGGAGAAATCTATACCATTGGCTGTAGTTGGCCTTGAATGATATTTGTGTGCCTTTAAACAACTGCTGGGCAAAGAGACAGGGAAACTATATACCTGCCAGACTTTCCCTAGCACTTCCAAAGGGCCGGGCTTTCTTTCTGGGTCAGAAATTGGCAGTCTTACTGTGCCATGAATTCAGTGAGGTATATCTAACAAAATGAATGATTAAATGATTGAGGGTGGCCTCAAACCTAAGTCAGTATATCCCAGTACATAAAGATAGAACAAAAATGCAATTTGTCCACATTATGATGGCAAAGAATCCCTTCCACCACCACCCCAACCAGCCACAGAGTCAAGTCTGAGCTCGTCTGTGAGATGAAGAGGAAAAAGGCAGGTAACAGGTATATGAGCCCTGAAGTCAATTATTTCCCCAAAGGAATGCGCACATAAGCACAGAACCAGACACACTTGTGTAAGAATAGCAGGCACATTAAAAAAATCTTGCAGTTTCACTGGTATCTCTTATGGTTTTATATGACTTCTTCAGTCTCCAGGTTCTAAAAACAGAATGCTTAAAATCCTCTCCTTTTATTTATGCATATAATTTCATATTGTAGTATCAAGTAAAACACCTAATGCTGCATGCAGTTTGAAGGCAAAGCAATACAAACACTGAATGAGAATAAATGTCTAAAATGAGGGAACGGAAGGATCAGTAATAATTAATACTAAGAGCAGATAAAAGATATTGAAAGCCTTGGTAAATAAAAAGGCCTTTGCTGGCACTGAAGGACCAGAGACACAGCACCAGACATGCCTCTTGGGAAGAAACTTTAAGACAAATTTAATTATAATTCTTGCATTTTTATTCGTAGGGACAGAGTTTTGCAGAATTTTCTCTCTCAGTTGCCAAAATAATTTGGTCGAGCTCTGTTACTATACAGCTCAGCTTGAGGGTGGCACCAATGACTGTTCTAACTCAAGCTATAAAATGTCTTAAGGTAGTCCAGCTGCTCATGCCTATACATATAAAAAATCATCCTTACAATTTCAGAGCAGTCTTTCTTCTGAGTTGTTAGTTTGAGGTGGTAGAAGTTCTTTGAACATCTTCTTTCGAGGCAAAGGATTACTGACTAAAAGTGTTTTGGTTTCACACTTTTGACTCCTTTCACTTCTTCCCACCCTTTTGCAATTGATCATCAGTGGACAAATTTTTTTTTGGAGAAACTTCTCCAAAAGTTCTTGAATAATCCTCTTGAATAATCCTTGAGATAAGAGGACAGGTCTTCTTTCCAGGCAGTAAATGTTAAAAATCTGAAAACAGGGCAGGAGTAAACCACTCTCACAGTGGATGGAACACTAGGTTCACCCAAAGATCTATGCTAAGAACTCTGTTGTTAAATTTATAAACAGGTGGCTAAATTGATTTAGGAAAATAAAATAAAATGAAATGAAGAACTCTAAAAGTCCAACATATCCAAAAATATATTTCCAAACTGGATGAATAGACAGCAAGTTTACATTGGAAAGTGTCAGTGAAAATTAGTGTGAAGTAATGCACATTGGGGCTGAAAATTATAATTTTATGCATACACTATTAGTCTGAAGTGGTCATGCTTAAACAGGGAAAATGATTCTGAGATTCAGATTGTTTGCTGAATTAAAATGTCTGCTCAGTGGGCAGCAGCAAGTTAAAAGCAAGTCTTATTAGCAGGGCCATCTTAACGCATGGGGCTGATGGGCACTTGCCCGTGGGCCCCATACTAATCTGTGTATGTTAACCCTTGGAAAATAGGAAAACTTCCAAAAGTAACAGTAGTTGTAGTGGTTGTAGAGGCCCCAGTACACTGCTTTGCCCAGGTCCATAATGCTGCTAAGATGGCCCTTCTTATTAGAACTTATTAGAAAATGGATTCAAAATAAGATTACCAGTAATGTAATATTTTGAATGTTAAGATTAGACTACTGTATCATGCTGTATATGAGGCTACCTTGAAGAGTGTACTTCCTTCATTCCGTCTTGTCAGGCTCCTTAGCACAGGGACCGCATTTCACCTTTGGAAAGAAGATGCTGGACTTAGATGGACCTTTTAGCCTGTTCCACTGGGTTTTTCTTATGTCATTACATTCTTGGCTTCTTCACAGTTGTGCAACATATTCAGACTTGACTTTCTCACAGAAGTATCTTTTTGGAGAGAAGGAAAGCAATTTTTAAAATGTAGGTTTGCTGCAGGTCGTTGGGAATTAAACCTTTTTCAAATAATGCAAATACATCTAACAGTTCTTTTTGAAGGATCAGTCCAATGAATATAATGTGCTTTCCTTCTTGCACTCGCACTATTTTTTATAAATGCTCTTATAAAACAAGCAATCTTGCGGTGCTATCCCATAATAATTAGCACTTGTTGCAGTGACTTCCATGCTGATCTTATTGTCTTTTCTTTTGAACAGAAACCTGAGCCACAACAAGTTGACAGAGATTGATCCTTCTGCCTTCACAAAGCTGCCAAACCTACGGGAGGTGTAAGTATTTCTCTCAAATGAGCTTTAATCTCGGCTTCCCTCTGTCTTCACTTCCATTCTGGCTGGGATGTCAGCAGGAAAATGTATACAGTTTCCAGTGACATGCTTCCATTGTACCATTAGCTTGCATCAGCAGATTAAATCTGAGCTATTGTTTTCTTTCATATGGCACCTTTGTGATTTTTTAAATTAAGCAGTCAATTAGTAGAACACAACCTCTCAATTAAATCACAGCATATGTATTGGAAATCATTGTCATTTGTCTGCTGCTCTGTCTCTTTTTTGTTTTCTCTGCAGCACTTCCTAATTGGTCTTCAAGCCAGAGTAGTTCAGATAGCTATACCTGGCTATGTGGATACACTTTCTTCCAGCAAGTGGGAGTTGACTCAGCTGTGACATCTGATGCTAACTTTTCCGGAGTCTCTTAGGAAACAAAGATGTAGTGTACCATGCTACAGAATAATTGTTCTCCTCCCACCTTCTGTTTGTCAGCCCCAGAGACATGGTAGAGATATTGGGTTCAGCAGTGTTGGCAGATACTGCATTAGCACCAGTAGCCAGAATTAAAGAGAGATCTTAATTTGTTGATTTGTTTTTTTAATTTTCATCTTGAAACATATCTCAGTACATTTCAGTTAATGAACATCTGTGTTTACGTAGAGGGCTGTACTGTGAAAAGCAGTTTCTTCTGTTCTTTCATAGTAATGTCTGGCTATATTATCTATATTTATTTACTATATTATTTTAATATAACAGTTCAGTAAACCCTTCAGCATTTTTATAATCTGTATTGTATGTGTGTTTGGGGTGGAAGTAATTGATTGGGAAATGGTTTCTACCATAACTCAGTGACACAAGACTTTGCAAATCTGTGACCTCCTTTTTACCTACTGCAGAATCTCAGCAATATAAGTTGCAATATCTGTTGAAGTTTAGCTTGCTATTTATTTGTTATAAATAAATAATTCCACATTCTTTCAGTGTCTAGCATATTATTTAAACCAAAAAGGATGCATAAAAACAGGTCTCTTCTCTCTCCAGGATATCTGTTAAGGAATCTTCAGAAATCTTTTGGAATTGATTCCTCTTCCTCTGACTGAGTCATCTCCTGCCAAGCTGTTACCTTAGATCTCTGTTTGGAGGTAACAGTGGGAATTCCTCCACAGGCTTAGACATAGAGGAATCTTCAAGGCTTTGCAGGCCAGATGTAGAATTTCTGTGCCCCTGATAAGTGAAAATTGATCCCTGGACTATCCAAAGTTGCCAACGCATGCCATATTGGCCCAGTATGAGTTTTCAGTGCTACTACAACTGCATGCTAAGTAAAGAGAGCATCTGCAGGTTCTTATGGAATAAAGTGCTGGATTGCACATGGCACAACTGTGCTGTGGAAATTGGCATTCCCATGTGAAGGTCTGACTTCTAAGCAAGTCATCTTAACCGGTAAGATCCCTTAAAAGATACCCTGCAGAGAGAAGATACCTATTTTTATGTATCCTAGTTGGTTTAAATGACATGCTGGCCACTCTGAGAGAATGTGGCCTTATTTATTTATAATAAATAGATAAATAGTCAGCTAAACTTCAATAGATATTACAACTTATATTGTTGAGGTTCTGCAGTAGGTGAGAAGGAGGTCCCAAATTCTTGAGAAGTCTTGGTATCATTTAGCTATGGTAGAAAGATCTTAACCTTTAAGATCACTTACCCTGTATTGTAACAGCCACTATGAGGAGGGTGGGAAGTGGAAGGCTTCACAATCTGGTGATGCCATGATAAATTATGATGATAAATTACCCTGAACTTTACAGGAGGAGGAGGAGGAATTGTACCTGGAGATAGTTTGCCACATCCTCCTCCTGTTGTTCAGTACATGTCCTAAGGAACCTTTCTTCCTGTTTTCTGTTTGAGCACGGTGTTCTGTTTCATAGATCAGCAAAAAGTTGCTTGTATTTCAGCATAAAAATATATATTTGATTTTTTTGCTAACATTTTTGTAAGAAATGAGTGGTAAATTGAGTAAAAGTTCCTTTCTCAAACTTCTCCCTTTTTACAAAAAAATAAAATTAAAAAATAAAATCTTAAGTGCCTTTCAGTGAATCCTCAAGAGAACTGGGCTATTTTTGAGCAGGATCCATTTCAGCATGACATTAGCCTGGCAACTGGGCTGTAAATATTTTATACAGAGTGGCATTCCCATCTCCCCTTCTTACTACACAGAGTAGCATGATCAAAGGGTAGAAAGTAGAGCTTTCAACCAGAGTCGTTACAGAGAGTGGTCACTTTTGCTTGCTTTTCCTGAAAGAAGCTCCAGAACAGGTGCCAAAGCAGCTTGTCCAACACATGCAAACAGCAAACTTCTGTCAAAATAAAATAACAGCCAAGAGTAACTGTTCAGTTCTGATTTTGTCTTGACCGTCACTGCTTTCATGGTTGATATGGGAAATTGTCAAATGCTGACAACTTAATGTGGTGGCTCTTTCCCAAAGCCCTATGTCCACTATGATCTCTTGTTATTGGTGGAAGCCAAAGTTTTTTCTGCTTCCAAGATTTGGTGAAATCTTCTCAAATTAAGTTATATCTCAGTCAAAATTCCCGTACGTGTTCTGGTGGTCACTTGAAGCTCCTCCTCAAAGAGGGTCTCCAATTCAGTTTGACTGCTCGCAATCCTCCAGCATTTCCCATGAAAAAACAGGGCAGACTCTGTGGATGGAGAAACTTCATGTGGTCATTGTTTAATGCTTGCACTTGTAAGAGATTCCAGATAAAGGCAATGATGTCTTCAAAATATTCTTCTGGCAATTATGGAAAAATGAGTTTAGAGATGAAGGTACCTCATATGCTTCCTAAGATCTTCTGACATATGGTAATTCTCAGGGCATTTCCTTGTCTGGAATATTTTGTCCAAATAAGTCGTAGGCACAAGTGCATGCTGATCTCTTGAGCTTATGGCAGTATATTTTAGAATAGTGAGTTTCAGGATCACTGAAATGTATGTTGCATGTCTGATACTGAAGTGTTTTACATGTATCTTTTAATGAGCATCATTCAAGGAATTCTTATCTTAGTTTCCAGAAGATAGTTTAAAAATCAGGAATCTTATACGAGTTTCTTGCAGGAATTCCTTGCAAGAGCTTGATGCTGTTAATTAGTTGCCATAGATAGCAATTATACTAGTTAAGTATAAATTATAAGCTATTGATTATATAGTCTTTCACCTTTTAAAAATATAAATAAGGTTTAGAATTTTTCTGTAATTTTAAAGATTTCAAGGCAAAATAGATCTGAATTTTATTTACATAATTTCATAATTTTCTGTCTTCTCCTGATTATCATGGATATCATAAACTATGGATATCACAAACTGTGGATCTGACTATCATGCGCTATAAATCTAAATAGATACATTTAAAACTGGGCTTTTCTTAAAAAAAAAAAAGACAGGCTGTCCATTTGTATAGTTCCTTGTAAGAAATTGAAACACCGTCATACACTGATGCAGAATTAACACTCTGCTCTGATTTTGTTTTACTGCTCTAATTGGTGATATGAGGGTGAAGGCGAGGCAGCAATATGGCCAGGAAATTAGGCAGTTTTCAAGCCACCAGACAAGCAACTGTTATTATGGTAATTAATTGACTAATTCAACATACAAAACAAGGGCTCTTTAAATCAAGAAGGGAGCATGCCATATCACCCAGATCAGCTTTCACTTAGTGTCAGAATACAAACATTATACTACTGAGAAGGGAGCTCCTATATCTGATTGCATGGCAGTGGAATAAAAAGCAGTAACATTCCCTGACTACCATTTTTTTAGAAATTAGGAAAGACTTGCATTAGAAATATCCACATTTGCTGGCCATTTAATGCGTAAAATAGTTTACTTTGGTTTGAATGTAAGGCCTTTATTTTCTTGTTGGCAATTAAACATCTATTATCTTCCCTCTGCTAGCCAATAACATGGATGTTTGACACTCCATTTCAGCCTTTGTGTTTCAGTTTTTTTTGAAAGCAGTAAAGATCAGTGTGCAGCTGGCCAGCTACTAATTGGAAGCCCTGAGTCCCTTGACCTGTGTGCGTATATACCTCTGTTGTATCAGTCTGCAGTTCTGTATGTGGAGGACTGTGCATACTTTTCATGCACACAAATTAATAATAAGTTGCTAACTGAAAAATACTTGCTCAGAGCTGAGTTCTGTGGACTGTGTAGAGTTTGCAAAATAGGCATTATTCTCTCACTCTTTCATTATAGCATGCAATATAGCTGTGTTCTTCTCCACCAGAAAATCTCCCTTCTTCCTGCTGGGCTTCTGAGATGTCACTCTCTTGGTCAAACTCCCTTGGCGGGAAAGGGGTTTATGGGCATGGTTTGAATTGTTTTTTTGCACCTTCTGAGTAGACCTAGATTCTTCTGGCTGTTCCATCCTCTCACTCTCCCCCCACCCCAAGCATAAAACAAACAAACTTGTTCTGCCAGGAAAGGAACTCTGGGGTGCTATTGCTTTTGCCTGCCTCCTGTAGGCAGCCATTTTGCTCAGGGCTGGGGAAGGGCAGCAGCAAGCCATGTGGGATGGGTGGCAGGATGTTCCTGCTAAAAGCAGCAAAAATGGGTAAGGAGGAAAAGTAGGTGGGGTGAGGTAATTGACTCTTCCTGCTTGCTAATCAGCAACAGGTCAGGGGCAGGAAAAGAAGAGCAAATTTTTGGTAGGAAGTAGACGGTCTGAAATAAACAGGGGATGCAGTGCAATACTTTCATATTTATCCTTCTGCCTCTTTGAGTGTAGGCTGTAGCATGGAGGAAAGCATATGCTTTGCACGCCAAAGGACCCAGCTTTGTTTTCCAATGATGGCTCCCACCCACAAACCCTGATGAGATGCTGCCACTAGAAGACAGTATTAGGCTAGGGAGACCAATGTCTTGAGTTGGTATAAGGCAGCATTCTATGACACAGGGGTATTTAGCTTTGTGCTTGACCACCAGAGAACAGGTTCTTGTTTACCCAAAAGCAAGTCTGTCTATATTCAGTAGGAAAATTTGTGCTTGGATTTGCAGTCTCAGAATGTTCACTTGGGCAGACTTGTGCCCATTGTTTAAATCCTGCCTGATTTCACTGGACATGTGTTTCATTTGCTCCTGTTTAAAGCCAGTGGGGTTTTTAAAGTGGGTGGGGTGTGAAGGGAATCCAAACACTGTGGAGCATTTTAAATGTGAAAGCTCCAATTCTCAGGATGCTGAAGTCAAAGCCTGATCAAATTGCACCTTTATAAGGTTTGCTTAGAGAAAGACAGTAGGCACAGCTGAGCTGGTTCAGTAGCTTTTGCTGTCTGAAGCGGAGGTACCAGTTTCCGTTGTTAGCTGTCTTCCCTCTCCCCATCCCTGTGGTGCTACCTGAAGCAAGTTGCCTCAGACTACATAATGGCAGCAGAGCTGTCTCTGCACCTCGCCAAGTGACTATGATGCTGTCTATTTGCAGCTGCTGGTACCATAATTATTGTAGCTACAAGTCATGCCAGTTGTTCTTGGCCATGCGTACAGCCTGTCCAGCCATTAAACCCAGCAGTGATGTGCCAGCACTCTCCCAAAAAGGTGGGGTATGGTTTTGTGTATGAGACTGGATCGGGAGCTGAAGGCGATACCCTTTGGAGCTGAATGTGTCTCGTGATCTGTAGTTTGGCCACCCTTGACAGGGAACTGGCGTATGCTGCTATTCCATAAATATGCTTTAGCAATAACTAAAGTAGGCATGGAATGTGCAGCTGGGTTTCTGTTATAAGTGTTCTTGGCAGAGGCTTAGCTGGAAAGTTGCAAAGATACAGGAAGTGCTAATCAGATCTATTTCTTCAAATCATCAGACCTCCTGGTAACTCAGGTTGTTGATGATGGCCAATAATGAGTTTTATCCTTACAAAAAAAACTACCTGAAACCTGCAAAATTGTGCCTCCTTTGCTTTTTAAAAGTTTCTTGTATTTAAATATGTGTGTTTGTTTCTTCTAGGAGACTTAATAACAATGAACTGACGGCTATTCCATCCCTGGGAGCAGCTTCTGTTCACATAACCTCCCTGTACCTGTAAGTCTCAATTTCAGCATGTATATTTGTGTCTGTATGTGTGCACATGAGTGCGTTCATGTGAGCATTTGGGCATAGAGGTATAGTCATACATACCGTTCAATATATATGTATGCAAGTAAGTGGTCAAGAGCATACACAGGATATGTGTCCATCATGATCCCTGTGATTCATGGATCCTTTCCTTCAATGTCTCTTGGATATTGGTGCCAGCACTGACCCTTTCCATATGGAGACAACTGTTCAGTGGTAAATTTAAGAATATTCATTATTCAGAGCCAAAACAGACATTACTTTAGATAGCTAGCAGTTCTGTCTTTTCCCTACCTCAGACTGGGACCCTAGCATGGAGAGTAGGATGGACTTAATCCTTCCCACACCCAATATTGGTCGTGCACCTGCCATTTCTGTTGAAAAATAGTGATCCAAAAAGCACATGGATTAAACCCCCGTATGTGCATCAGAATGAAAAAAGAGAGATGACTGTAAGCAATGCCTAGCAAGTAAGCTCTGTTTTGGCCCCTGGGTAAAGTGTATGCATTTTAAGCAGCGTGAACTAAGTTGGATGCACAAACTGCCAAGAGAAGAATCGACCAAATAACAAAGAATTGGCTCAAGAGGATTGAAGGTGATCTATCAGAATGAAATGAGAAGGAAACTATTATTTGTTGTCTTCTTATTTTATTGATTTGTTATGTATGTGTTCTGCCATTCTTCCAGGGAATCCAGTGTGATGTATTTGACTCTTCTATCTTATACTAGGTGACACCATTGGAGCATCTAACTCCGTATGGTCAATACCCACTGGTGGTAAATCCCCAGAGTTTCTGTCATAGGTCTTTCCTAGAAATGTCGTCAATCAAAACTGAGATAGTTTTCGTGCTAGGTATATGTTATGCCCCTGAACTATGGGCCTTCCCTGGTTCAAGTCCAGCATACTCTAGCCATCAGATTAAGATTGCTTGTTAGTGAGCAGCTCTTCAGATAAGGATAAAGTCACTAATGATTTAACTTGGAACAAGCCTGCATGTCAGGAGACCTTATGATGGTGTCTCGTAACAAATGGTTGAACAGTGTAAAAATAAAGGGGTTGCTAGGCATTGAGAGCTGTCAGGAAGACTTTCCATCTACAAAATACTGCCCTTGTTTTCCCATACTACATATGGTTGATTGTGGCACACATTAAGGCTCATCACAGTCTGTTAGGAAGAGAATCATGAACGTTCATGAAATCTGAATGGCATATGATTTCATGAGAAATGACCCTGCATCAAAATCCTGGGTAGTGGAGTCTGGCGAGGGAAACAGGCCTTTCATTCATCCGTTGGCAGGGAGGGAAGAAAAGTGGGAAATTATTAGGCACAAAGTCTGCTCTTAACAAGGCTAAACAGCATGTTGTGATGGCAGTAAACTGGTTCTTTCTGTGGAAGAAAGTGAGTGCTGTCTTCAATGGCCTCTTTGGAGAAAGGAAAAAGCAGTTGATAGTATTTCAGATGGAGGTACTCAAGTAGCAAAGAACTGAACCCAGTGAAATTTGTCATGGATGGTGCAGCATGATGCATGTCTGATGTGTTTGCTTAAAAGACGTGTACCTGGCTTTGTTTGATTAACCTTTTCCTGCAAGAACCACAGTAATGCTGAGGATCTCCATTTCACCAAGAATTGCCTGTTCAGCTGTGGAAGTCATTCCTTAAGAAGAGTAAGGACAGATACAAAATGGCTGGGCAAATATGAGAGCACATGAGATTTTGGAATAGAATTCTACACTACTTTCAGGCAGACCTGCTTTGACCTGTGAGCTGCCCCGAGGCTTTGGCAAGGGGCGGCATAGAAATGTTTTAGATATAGATAGATAGATAGATAGATAGATAGATAGATAGATAGGGCCACATGGAGTGAATCCTTCTAGGGCAACAAGAACTTCCACAAGTTTAAAAGAAGGGTGGAACATCCAGGTTTTTATGTATATTACTGTGAGGACTTTTTCATGGAGGTTAGAAGAGCAACTTTTTTCAAAGTTTGGGCATGTCCTCTTGTTGAAGCTTGGGCAAATAACCTCCTTCCCAGCTCAGACATGTATTCTGTTAGGCAGTTGGGTACTGAAACTTCCTCCTACTTAGTTCCTACATTCTCAGGCTACAAGTCAGAGGAATGACTCAAAGCTGTAGGCTGAGGCTGAGGCTGAAAAGACGCACCTTCCTCCCTCAGCCTGGAATCAGATGGGAATCGGGCCCTGAGTTTCTTACAGTTGGGCTCCTAGATGGCATGTTCCAAGTCTGAATCAGAGTCTGACTTTGAACCCACAAGTTCCACAGTGGCACTGGGGCTAGGACCAATATGCTGGTGCAGGAAATCAGAATACTTTTATAGAAAGGCAGCTGTGGAAGAAATACCACTAATGGTTTTTGCTTAAAATATTTGCAATGCAGACTAGTGATGTTTGTAAAAATGAGAAGGCTTAATACTTTTGTCAAGAAGAGCAGGTTGAGTGGTCTCCATAGAAAACATGTCTTCTTTGCTGAAGAAAGGTCACAGATTGGTCCTCAAGAATGGACATTTCCATAGATTAATTGGTACCACCAGTTTTTTTCCCCATGTTCCCTGCCTTTGTTGTGCTCACTCCATTCTTACTGATTACTTTGCTTTAATTTGGGCTATCGGAGGCCCACGGTGTATTCATCAAGTGCATGAGCATTCCAGAAGATCCGAATACTCTCATATTTGGATGACTGGCTCTTGTTCAGTCCCTCAGATGAGTCATACCGGATCTTGTGGCGATCCTGAACGCTGAGAAAGTAATACTAGAACTAAAGCTGTACTACACAGTCTGTATATCCAAGGAGACCTAACGCTGGTTCATGGGTTAAGTTGATATGCACACTGTGTAGCCACCATGGTATGGGAAAGGAGACTTGGTTTGCTTGTGCTAGCCTCTTTTGTGATTGGGTGAATAGCTGTTACCCATGTACTAAGTGATGCAGTCTATCGAGTATTGTTGCTATAGTGCCTCCATTTCATCTGCTATCAGTTGCTTTGTGATGCTACAACACTTTTATTGGGTTTACTTGCTACTTTATTGCTTTATGCATTTGTTCACAGTGCTAAAATTTGAAATAGGTACATGTAAATGAAAACAATGCTTAACCAGACAATTGCTTGGCTGTCAGCACCAGGGCCTTAATTCCTACCCTCCCAGTATTTGATGCTATTCACTTTAGTCCTGGTAGGCATGTTCAGCAATGGGGTGCCATATATTATGGTTTCCTACAGGGTGTGATGTGCACTCTTGAGTGCTTTTGAAGTAATCTTGGTATATTTGTTTTAATACCTGCCACCATTTACACAGAGTACATAGGAAAGCAGGACAAATTGGCTACATTCCTGCTTTTCCATTAAGGCTGTACTAAAATGTGGAAAGTTGAGGAGTTCTCTCATTCAGGTCAAAATAGGCAGCTGTGGTCATGTCTCATTCTCCTACCCCCTGCTTTCTTTTTAAAAATCATATTTAAAAAAATAACAATCTTAAGTCAAAGCAAGATACTTAGAGATCTGTCAATTGGAGCATTTTTATGCCACTGTCATGGAGCCAGTTCTTTTACCCTGTCTCGATCGTGCTTAAGTTGAAACAGAGTTAAAGTACTCATCTAGCTTGCATTCACATACACTTTTTATCACCCGGACTTAAGAGACTGGCACCTATACATTGCTGGTACTCTGATTCTAGGGAAGGCATTGGGTATGATAAGTTAATATCACTCATAAAGGGCCTATTATTCCAGCAGAGTGGGCAGGCAACATGAGTAGGACTGTTACATCCTGCTTTTTATCCCCAGTTTTTGTGGGGTTACCAAAGTGGATCATGAAACTACTTTTTCTCTAGAGTGATGCAACTAGTTGCATTCACACAAAATTGCAATGACTTAACTAGCTGCATGCACACAAAATGCCAAGCAACCCCATGTAGTTTCATGGTTTGCAGTTTTTTTTTAAACCACAGGCTGTCTAACAGACAATCCAATCAAGTGGCTTCTACTTTATCATGGTTTTCATCTTCCAGTCCTCATCTGCTCAGTCCTCCCATGGTTGCCATGTATCCCATCGGCCACTGTGCCTGAAATTCAGTCCCAAGCTGCATCACTCCCTGCCTGTGTTCCCTCCCTCTTCCTCATTGGTGCACCCATAGAGGCGGGATGGCCGGAGCAGCTCCTGAAGTTGCCACTCTTTCCAGTGGTTCCTGCAGCAGTTGCATACCAGGTCTGTGGAAACCATGATAAACCATGGTGGTACAGAGAAGGCATAGAACAAACCACTGTTTTGTATTGTGGTTTCTAGAAGCCGAAGATTCCATGGTGGTAAAATACCATGACTGGATTCAGACTCACAACAGAGCAGCAATGGTAGAAAATTGCCTTGGCTTGCTATATTGCCTGAACCCAGCCACTTTCTTCTCTGTTGTTTAGATCTGTTGAGATCCAGTGTGGTGTAGTGGTTAAGAGCATGGGACTGGGACTCTTAAGTTGAAACAGTCCCAGATCTGGGTTCTAGTCCCTGCTCAGCCATGGAGCCAACTGGGTGACTTTGGACCAGTCACAGACTCTCAGCCCAACCTACCTCACAGGGTTGTTGTTGTGGGGATAAGATGGAGGAGGAGAATGATGTAAGCTGCCTTGAGCCCTTTGTAGGAAAAAGGCAGGAGATAAAATCGATAAATAAATAAATAAATCTGTTTTCTGAGTGTTCACTGGGACTGTTGGCTCAGTCCATTTTTAATCAACCTTTCTGATATTTATTTGCTTGCTCTCTTTGTAAGTATTTGGGGATATTTTCCAGGTGTGACTATAAAATATATAGAAGAAGCTGGGCTGCAAACTCAAGTTTAATCATTCTTTCCTCTATCCCTACATATACTTTCTGTGGCCTAAATAGGAGCAAAGAAATGTATTGGTCTATATATCTCTTTGGGTGGGTGGAAGAGTAGGAGAGGTACCCCTGATTTTGAT